ACAACATGACGGGAGTGATAGACTCGACCAGAACGAGGCTCAAGGCAGAGGTAAGCACTTTGTGTCGAACTGTAACCTAAGAAAACGCATGGTTGGGACCGAGGGGAAAGTTTATGGGAGGAGTACGGGCGAAGGTACGGGAAGCAAAGGCAACCGAACACCGGAGTTTGTTATAGTTGGGGGCAGAGTGGAATAACCTCGAATGAGGGGATTGATGGGATAGGAGAGGAGTGGGGAGTTTATTGATGAGGTAGACAGCAGCGCGGAACGCATAGGTCCAGTATGTGGCCGGCATGGATGCTTGATGTAGCAGGGAGAGGCCGGTTTCCACTATGTGACGATGGCGGCGTTCGGCGATGCCGTTGTGTTGAGGTGTGTGGGGAGGAGTAGTGAGGTGGGTTATGCCATGTTGGGAGAGGAGGGAGTTTAGTTTATCGTATTCACCACCTCTATCAGAGAAGAGAGTGACAAGTGAAGTTTGGAATTGATTCTCAACTTGCGCTTGGAAGCGTGGAAATAGATCAAATAAATCAGATTTTCGTTTGATGGGATAAAACCAGACAAACCGAGTATAATGATCAACAAAAATCACATAGTATCGATAACCATCAACGGACGTAACATGAGAAGGACCCCATACGTCAGAATAAACAAGTTCTAACGGACGAGAGCTGTTTAAGGATGAATCGAAAAAAGGTAAACGATGACTTTTACTGCAGTGACACGCATGACAAGTCGACAAAGCCGTTGTTGCGAACGGAAGAGAGTGATTTTTAAGAATTTGATGAAGGATTGGTGGTGCGGGATGACCGAGCCGACGATGCCATACGTCACCCGAAGCACGAACACTAACCAAGGCACGAGGGAGCACTTTATTGGGAAGGAAAGCAGGAAATTCATAGACACCATTTCTAGTGCGTCCCCGAAGAAGAGGAGTCCCGGACGGCTGCGATTTGACAACAAAAGATGTAGGAAAGAATTCAACAGAAGCTTGGTTAGATGCACGAAATTGGGAGACAGATATGAGGTTTTGGGATATGGAAGGGGAGCAAAGGACATTATCAAGGGCAAAGGTTCGATTAGGGAAGGAAAGGGACATAGAGCTAGTGTGAGATATAGGCAAACCTGATCCGTTACCAATGGCGATGGTGTCGGGGCCATCGTATTTCTCTGAAAGAGCTAGGTTGGCGATGTCATCGGTGACGTGATGAGAGGCGGCCGAGTCGAGGAGCCAAGAGGGAGTGCTGGTTGTTGCATAGACTTGTGGTTGACTGGGACATTTCCGGATGTATGCGGTAGCACGTTCGCGCTGTATGACCAACACGCTGACAATATTGACATACCGGCCGATTGGAAGAAGGAGACACATGAGATGATGGTGGTGGACGTGAGGCTGTGGGCTGGGGCCCAAGAACAGAAGCTGGACGAGGATTGGAGCGAGGAGAGTGACGGCCACTAGGAGTGCCGCGGGGCTGCCGAGCTGTGGAGTGAGCAAGGGGCGAGTGAGATAGAGTGGCGGTGCGTTGCAGATAATCATCATAGCTGACGAGTTTGTCGTAGAGCTCGTCGAAAGTGGGTGGATTGTCACGAGCATGGATGGCAGCAGCAATCTCCTTGAAGTCAGAACCGATGCCGTGAAGGGTGTGTATGACAAGATCCATATCACTAACAGGATCGCCGATGAGAGCCAGCTCGCGAGCAAACCCCTTGATAGTAGAGAGATAATCAGGAATAGATTGGGTTCCACGAGTGTGAGCAGCAATCTTATCACGCAAGTGCATTGCGCGTGAACGAGAGGGATTGGCGAACATACGTTCCAGAGTAGACCAGGCTTCACGAGCGGAAAGAGCTGCGTCAATGTGCGGCATGAGCATCTCTCCAACTGAGGCTAGAATGGCGTGAAATATGAGGCGGTCTTGACGAGCCCAACGGCGATAGGTTTCAGATGCCTTTTCCGCGGGAGGAGTCCCGGTGCCATCAATATGAGACATTAAGTCATAGCCAAAGATCAATGACGTGAACTATGATTTCCAGGACGAATAATTGGAGCCAGTGAGACGAACTGTGAGTTGGGAGCCCACATTGAACAAAACAAGAGGAGAAAGGGAAGAGCTGCCAGGTCGAGGGGGATTGGTTTCAGAAGAGACGCTGGAAACCATGTTTGCTATGAGTTGAATGAGAAGGGAACTGGGACCGAGAGAGAGAGCTAGGAGCAGTAGAGAAAGAGAGACCTTGTTAGAGGGATTTTAGGTGCTCTGATACCATATAGAGTAGAGAGAAGTTGAGAGAGAAAAGGACTTGATTCTATTATTAGTGTTGGGAAGGATATATATATACACGAGAACGTCCAACAGTAATAAACAACTAATGAGAGAATACAGGAACGTGGACGTTTAGGAGCTACTGACTTTGACGAGGTAAACTCGTTTGGTCGTTACACTTAATAATGCCCACATCTTGATTTGGCTGAATCATTATGACATAATATTCAGGTATGTAAAATTATTGAGCTTGAAAGATTACAACTTCCCATCTCTTATGATGAAATAATTGACGGTCCTTACCATGAGTCTTGGTATCAATTCGAAATTCCAAGTCACAGAAGCACAAGTTAGTACTTCACCAATTCATTTTTGTCTTGCTATCTACAATATCATATATATATATATATATGATACTTTGTGACTGCTGTGTATTGGGGAACTGTTTCCCAGCTTAATTTCAACTCTGCTGCTGCTTCATTATAAACTGCAAATGAGCAGGAAAACTGTTTCCAGCTGGAGTTTGGTTCATGCTCCATGGAACTTCAAGGCTATGTCTGCTGGAATCTTATCTAGGCTACGAGGAGTGCTGCAGCAGGGAAGTTACAGTTTGTAGGAGTTTCGTTGAGAACACTTGAGGAAGCACTTGATTAGTTTATGTCCTCTTTCTGGATTATGTTGCGTGATTATGCTTCCTGTAAAGTCCTAATTTTTTCATTGGACTTGAGATATCCTGCTGCTTTTGTTTGCATGTTAATCAGCTTAAGGTAGTTCTTTACCTTTCAAATAGCACATTTCGCAAGCCTTCACTTGCTGAGGCCAGCTTCCTCTTCTTTATCAACTACTTCACAGTCACAGCAGTGGTGGTTTAGGTTTATAGGATTCATTTTGAACCTCCAAGGTTAGTGTCTTATTTTGCAATTTCCCGACACAATGAATGCTGAACTCTGTCACCATAAACCTTTTATGTATGAATATGAATGAATTCATTCCCCTTCCAGCCAACAACACTGCCGTCCCATCCTCTCAAGGCCACAAGTATGTGAGATCCACCTGCTTTCACCCATTTGGAAATCGGAACCACTAAGTCTATTTTACCATTTGTTTTCTGACACTATTTTCATTTCCAGTTTGACTAAACTGTAAGCATCAGACATATGCCAAAAGTTGCTTGAATGTACGGCCTTCAGTATTTAGGTGATCGAAGATACATGTTTCTTAATTGGATTATGAAATTTAAACGATGTGTAGTGTTGAATCGATCTAGTATTTCCATGATCTTAGACGGTAAATATATAAATAATATAAAAACAAATGACAGCCAGCGCAGAGCGTGCTTAGCTTACTAGTAATATTATATCTTTAAAAAAACAAATTACACTTTACTGTTGGGTAAAGTCACATCACACAAGGTACTATTTTTGTAATTAACCAAAGCTTTAATGGTTTAAAGGGTGACCATTCTGTAATTAAACAAAAAGTAGTGCCTTTTAGATTTTTTTTTGATTTGTTACTTTTTCTTCTTCCACTCTAATCAACTCTCTTCTCATTTCTCAATCATCACACCCACCCTCCTTTCCTTTATCGGCTGAAGAAGAAGGAAAAAGTGACAAAGAAGCTTGAGAAGAAAAGAGTCACACTAACAATAAATATTTTATTGTTAAACTTTTTTAGTTATTAACCAAATTCATGTGTGTTCAATCTAATTGGATTCGATTCCGGTTTTGTCGATTTTTGGGTCGGGAACGAATCTTACCTACTTTTGTAATTAGCGAATTGGATCGGGTGTGGATTCATGTGTTTTTAAACTTTAAATTATTTCCATGACAATTGACACAAATTCATGTGTATTCAACCCGGTCTAGTGTTGCCGAATTTTGGATTGTGAACAAATCTTACACGCTTTTCTACTTACCGGTCGGGAATGAATTTTACCTATTTTTGTACTTAGCGAATTGGGTCGGGTCTGGATTCATGTGTTTTAAACTTAAAATAATTCCCGTAACAATTGACACAGATTCAACCCGGTCCAGTGTTGCCGAATTTTGGATTGTGAACGAATCTTACACGCTTTTCTACTTACCAGTTGGGAATGAATTTTACCCACTTTTGTTATTAGCGAATTGGGTCGGGTCTAGATTCATGTGTTTAAAACTTAAAATTATTTCCGTGACAATTGACATAGATTCATGTGTAACAACCCGGTTCCGGGTTGTCGAATTTCGAACCGGAAACGAATCTTACCCGCTTCTTTACTTACCGATTGGGAACGAATCTTACCCGCTGTACTTTCTTTTCTTTTTTTAAAATTAGCTTTGGGTTTGTGTTTGGGAGAGTCACTTCCCCATCACTTCTCCCTGCTTTCTTTGTATTTTTCAATTTCTTTTCTGAAATTCATTCACATCACTGCTTTCGTTTCTTCACTTTCATCCGTATCTCTCCCCCTCTCTCTCTCTCCTTTTCATTTCCTTTCTTTCCCCCAATCCCCCAGAAAACTCCCTCCCTCCCCATTCTCTCTCTTCATATCCATCCAACCCTTCCTCCACAGCGCAAGAACAAGAGAGGATGATGATAAAATCTGTTGTTTTTTCATCCAAACAAATCTCACTTGTCTTATTTTTTTGCCCCAAATCTCCTCTTCTTTTACTACTTTGTTCTGGCCATGGCGGCGGCGGAAGAAGAAGAAGACCCGAATGATGATGGAGGTCACGCAGGAGAGAAGTCAGCGATGCCCTCAAGATGAGCGAAGGATCTCTCTGTTCATGGATTGCCGGCGCCCAGTTAGCACCGTTTGGTTCGCAGGCCTTCTCCACGGTCTAGGTAGAAAATATGGTATGTCTTTTTTTTTTGTTGAATTTTTCCTTTTTCCTGTTGTCTATTTCCACGAAAATGGGTTTCAGAGACTTTCTTCTGGTTCGTTTGTGGTTGAGTTACTCTAATAAGGTTTTCTTTGATTGGTATTGCTTAAGAATATGGGTGTTTACTGTTTTTAGTTCCTAATTCTTCATCTTACTGTTAGTTCACCACAGCTGTTTTTCTTGCTCATTTAGGCAGAGTGCAGGTACCTCTCTGCTTGCCATTGGGGGCCTCTGCGAAGAAGAAGACCTGAATGATGATGGAGGTCACGTAGGAGAGAAGTCCCGTTCACGAAGCGATGCCCTCAAGACATCAAAGGATCTCTCGATTCATGGGTCGCCGGTGCCAATTAGCACCAGTTGGTTCGCAGGCCTTCTCCACGATCTTGGTAGTAAATAGGGTATGTGGTTTTTTTAAATTTGTTCATTTTTTCGTGTTTTCTATTTCCACAAAAATGGGTTTCAGGCCTTTTCGGGTTCGTTTGTGGTTGAGTTACTCTAACCAGGTTTTCTTTGATTGGTATTGCTCACTTCCACGAATCTGGGTGTTTGACTGTTTTTAGTTCCTAATTTTCATTTTACTATTAGTTCATCCCAGCTGCTTTTGTTGCTCATTTATGCAGTAGAATTATCGTTCCTCTGACGCTGAAGTTTTGTTGTGCAAGTGCCTCTCTGCTTACCATCGGAGGCCTCTACCTCAGCTAAGGTTGCTTTATTTTATGGTCGGTTGAATAGTGGAACTGGGTTGCTTGCTGTCAGAGGGAACCAGAAATTGTGCGTTGGTCGAGGAAAGTGTACTGAAGCCACGCCTACAGGCTACAACTGACCAGGTAATGTAACTGAGTTCCACTTTGCAACTGGTTCCCTCCGATAAGATTGGATGAATTTGCCCATTCCTTACACAACTTCTTCATTGGAACCTGATAGCACCAAAGTTTGCTCTCTTGCTGCATCTTTGCACATCTGCTTCTTTGGAAAGTTCACTCTCACTTACTTTTCCTTCTTGCATTGCTTTTAACAGATCACATTCGATGTATCCTACATGGGATCCAAACGTTCTCAAGAGTAATCTTGAGTTTCAACCCCATGCAGTTTGACTTTTTGCTAGCATCATTGTTGGCCCTCTGTATGTTGTTAGCAACATATTAATATTCTGTTTTGTTTGCTATAAACACTTATGCTAAACATGGACGAGCCCAAGTCTAGCCGACACTACAAACTCTTCTTGCTTTTCTCATTTGTTGTGTTTTCCCTGCCTGTTTGTACTTTAGGTTGTTCTTTTATTTCAGCTCCTTTCTTGACCGATTAGATCACTGTATATATGTTCTTCAACACCGCAGGTCTTTTTATCCCTGCTTATCTCAGACTTCCCAGTGTTTGTTGGTGTTGCAGCTGCAGTATAATGTGTTTCTGGTTCCTTCGCAGCCTTCATGGTATCTGTGGGAAGGGATCTATAGTTACTCCACCGGTTCATGCCTAAGATAGCAGAGCCCGAGTGGTATGCTTCCTGTCTATGTGCCCTGGGGTAACATTTTAGTTTATGCATTAGTGACATGTAGACGCAGTGATGATACCAGACCCATGTATTGATAAGTTGAAAAGTCACATTTGTTTTGGTTCTCAAATACTTTTATTTGAATTGAAGCTCTGCTTTCTGCGAGTCTGCATTATGCCTTGGTCATCTTTTTCTTTCCCTTTCCAAACGAGGCTGATAGAAATAGTGATATAGGATCGACGTGCCAGTAACTCTCCTTCTCCACTCATTTTCATTGGAATTGGATTTTGCTATGTTCTATTATTATTCTTCATTGTCGTACAACTAAGACGGATCAAAGTGAAAAGCTTCAACCATGGCAGTGGTGGGGAAGGGGGAAACCCTGGGATCATTATGAATTGGGATTTAATGGAAGTTGTTTTCCCAATAACATCTGCAGGAACTCTGAACTTGAGCACAAGGAGTACGAGACGAGTAGGGTGAGAAGGAAAGAGCTTGACTGGCAATCCATTTTTGTGTTGGTGGTCGTGCTAACAATTGAGTCTGGTGAGCTGCCATTCATCGCTCTCCGAGTTTTATTTGATGTCCTGCATGTCCAAGTTTTTCAGTTGCGGGAGAAATGTTTTTTTTATTCTTCCAATTTGTCGGCTCCAATTTGCTGTTCAAGGCTCGGCCCTTAGCGGTGTTGGGGGACGGGCAACACTTGTCTGGTGGTAGCGCGGTGATGGCGGTATTAAGATGGCAACGCGATGCTGGAAACAGAGTTGTGAGTGAACCCGACGGCGGTGCTGTGCTTCGATAGGTACGGTTTTCTTTGTGGAAGGGTAGGATATACTTGAATTCATATTTATTGACTCTCTCTTAAGAAATTCTCACCCAAAAATAGAGGAACACAAACCCTAGATTGATCTGATCTCACCGTTTTCATAGGCAAAGACAATGACGAACAAAAAGCAGAAGGAAAGGCAAGCAGAAGAAGAAGAGAAAGAAGAAAAGACAAGGTGAGAATGAAGAGATAAACGACATGACGACCGTAAAGGCAAATAGACCTCCCTGAAGAAAATACGGTCGGTTTCTGGCCATTCTATTCTTTATTTTTTATGTTCCATCTGCCTTCTGGTTTTTGGTTTCGCATCATCGAGTCGCTTCTCTTTGTCTGCCCCTCTGTGTGTGTGTATTTCTTCCATCTAACAGTTGATATGAATCGTAATCTGAGTTTTACTTTGATCTCTTACAGCGACAAAATCTCCTTCCAATATCGATATTGGTTCCAAAATGTATACAACCTGCTTTTGATTGGGGATTTTGGTGGGCCAGTCGTGTTTTCGACATGAGAAGTGTTTAGTTTAATTTGCTATAGCTTTTGCCTTCTCTATTACTCTCGGCTTCTTCGTTTTCCTATTTACTCTTCTCTATAATGGGTGCCCATTGGTGTATCTTCTTCATATGCATTATGCTGCAAGTAATGTTTTTCTCTAAAATTTTGGGCTAATTGATAGTACAACCCTTTGCCCTAAATTTATAAGGATTTTATGATTGATGTGTCCTGTAACTTCCAATGTTGTCGTAGCACTATGAATTGCATACTTATAGTTCATTCCTCAGGTTAGTTGGCTTAGTTAGTGATCAGGCCAAGGAAAATATATGTTCTCCCACCTACAACTTTACTCAGTGGATGTGTGGTAACATTTAACTCATGCATTCTTACTGGTAATTAATCACTTACGGCCAAATCAATGATTATTTCCTCAATTCCATAATCTGATCAACAATTTACAGCACACACCCACATATGGAATCTGGATACATACATATACCCATGCATTTCCTTAAACCAACATTAAGGCCGTAAAGGAGATGTGATTCTTGCTCGACCATCATCTGATCGGCGGAAGGGAACATGGGTTGTGAAACACTGATCGGGTTAGTAGAGGACTAAACTATGATAACCATTACCGCTAGAGAGAACAACAATGTCGCGATGATGTAAACCCCACTAATCACACTTTTTGAAGCCTGTTAATACATGCCTGCAGAGCTCGATAGGAAAGGTTGTGACCAACTACTCATTCCTTGCTTTTAGCTCTTTTATGAAACTTCTTCCCTTCATTCTAGGTATATGGTTTATCGTTGTTGCTTTTCATGCTAACTTTGTCCTTTTACACTAACATCTAAATCTGTGGAAGGGGGAATGATTTATTTGTGTGCTGGGTTCTGTAATTACGTTTACAAAGATATAATGTAGAAGTGTAGTCCATATGATCGCTTTTCAATCTAGAAAGCTCATATGGGGATTTGATTCAGCATTTGATTTTGTTTGGTGGATTAGTTATTATCTGCTTTTGTGCTTACCTTTGTTATTCTTTTTACCCAGTTGGAAGAGAGGAACCGATACGCTTAGAAAGCTACGGACATCACCCTACTATACCACACGAAGCTGAAGCGCCCAGGGTAAGGCCTCTTTTGCCTCGAAATGGGTCTCAACCTCTACGTTCCACCTCTTTCCGCATCCATTTTCTTTGATGAGTGCATTTTCCTTCCACCTTTTCTCATTTTTGCCATTTGGTTTGTGGTCTTAATCTCAGGGAATCCATTGATTAAATCTAAGTGTCAGTAGAAACTCTAAGTGTCAGTAGAACTTAATCATGATATTTTGGACACTAAATTCAGATCTCAGGAAGGACGAACGAAGGAGTTGTCGATCAAGAAGTAGCTCTGGCCAAAGCATCATAAGCAGCTCCACAAGGATATTGAAGGTGCAAGTGCTTTTCGTTCTATGTGTTTTCCAAAATGCATATCGATTTCAGCTTCTGGACTATTTGTGGTTATTTTGCGGTTTTCGTCTTTTATTGGTTAAATTATGTTAAATGCAAAATTTCTGCGAGGCCGGGTAGCTTTCCACTGGTGAAGTGTCTTTTATCAGCTAAAGTTAATTGATTACACTGAATTCGTTTTTAGTCAATGGTGTTAACTTGGTTTCTTTCATTTTCTTGATAGCCTCAATGCGATTGGGTCAGTGTGAGCATCAATCACTGCCTGAGATAGTAGTAAAGATAAATTCCTGCTAAGCATGATGACCAAATACTTGTTAACTTAGCACTTCCCCTCCTGCATGAGTGCACTTCTTCAGTTTTCGGTTCTGCCTCAATGAAAATTGCCTCTTGGGTTTCTGATATTGTCAGTAGGCGATAGGTTATCCACAGATGTTCAGGAAGCGGAACACGAATGTTTTTTTTAACTTTCAGCAATGCACTGCAAACAGACCATAAGCACTATTAAAGTCACTTAACCATAGCAAAACTAAGTGCCATTATCCTTTATCTCTTGAATCACTTAATTATTGCCCTTCTGTTAATTGATGTCTCACTGTTCTTTGTTAAGGCGTGCCGGGTTTGGGACAACTGAGGAAGTAGAGAGAATAAGTGAGGGGGGAGAAAGAATCTGCAGACGAGGGATGGCCATCAACGGCGAATGAACATGAACCCTGGCGGTACTGCTTTGTTCATTTTCTTTGGTCCTGCATTCGTATTGCTCGGTTTTCACAGTTGTTTGTTTTGTTCTCTGCTATTACCATTCTCAGTTTGCGAGGATATCAATGGTAGCTGATAATGCTGGAGTCAAGTGCATTAGGTCAGAGGAAGATATTGGTGGGATTTTGCATCATCAAAGTCTCCATCCTCCATGGATATATACTGTTAAGCTTATTGTTACTCTTCCCCGTGGAAGCTGCCAAAAGAACAACGAAGCAGCCAGTAGTGGTGAGCTCTTCTTATGCTTGAATTTTTTTTTTTCTTATGCACCTCATTATATTCTTTCTTCGCGCTTCAATAATGGCCGAAAGTGTGATAGTTGAGCCTGAAGAGGGTGTTCTCAATTTGTACACATTGTTCGACCTTCCAGTCTATGCGTACAAATATTTGGTGTTGTTTTCTCCCTATATACACGCTTTCTTATTCAGAAGTTTTATTCTAATCTTATAATATCCCATTAGACACGTCCCATTTGCTGCTACAGGTGCCTTCCACAAATTAAGTAGCAGAGCGCAACCTTGGTGTTAATGGATCTTAGATGCATGAGCAGAGTTGATTTATCCAGTTTCCATAAATGTTGTAACCCAAGGTAGTGTTCCGATTCCAAACTCTCGAGTTTTTTAGCTGCTTCTTATGCAGCCACTCAGAAGAAAGATTGACTTGCAGTCTAACAGTTGCTTTGGATCAAATACTTTTTACAATCAAAGCAATCCTCTTTTTTATTTTACATGTACCTTTGTATGTTTTGTTTCATTAGATTATAGATTTCATGCCTTGGATTTAAATTTAGCTAAATATGATTGACGGTGGTGTCTAAAATCCCCGTTGTTTTTATTTTATTTCTCTGTGCCACTTGATGGTACAACTCTTTTCTCTTATGCTATTTACCCCAATTAATTATAGAAGTGTTTGCGGCCTCAGTTTCATCAAAGAGTGTCTAAAACAAGATACATAGGTAGGACGAAGGGGAGTAAATTTATGCTCTCTTTTGTTTGATTTGTTTTCGAGATTTTTGTTCGGTTGTTTTTAGCCATTTGGAACCCAACATCCTATCTTGCTGCGTATTAGTAACCTTAAGCATCTAGGATATCATATAGACATGAATGATCGAGATTGAAATGAGTTTTTTTTAGCAATGTTAGATGGTGTTAGCATGCTTGTGATGGGGAGATTGTTAGAGGTTTCAATGATGCATTATTTTACCTGTTCTAAACTGACCTCATTCTAAATTTAGTTAGAAGTCTTTCTTTCATGAATCAGTAGTGGAAATCAATTTCGAATATAGCTTATGAGTGTTCTTTTCTCATGAGGAAGGGGACGATACAAAAGAAGAAGCCAAAGAAGAAAGAATGATAAGCCATTGAATGGCGAACAGGAGCAAGGAAACAGTGAGGATTCAATGGGGAAACTCAAATTCCATGGATTTGAGTACTCTTTAGACTGCTACAATTTCATATTTTACTGTTTACAGATAATTTATATTATATGTTTTTTTGTTAGATTTATTTAGTCTTTGGAATCTGGTCTGTGCAAAGTTGAAGTCTGAGTTGGCAATGGTGTCCTTTCATTTGGGAAGGATTATCTTTTGGTCTTGCTTTTACAATTTTTGTTTAGTTTGTTTTGTCGATTTCAATGACTCTGCATTTTATTCACATTACCCATGTTACTTTTGTGATATAGCTTGCGAGTAGAGCTCGATTTGGATATTACATTTTTGGTTAGCTTATCGTTTCATAGCAAAACATGAATGAATTATTGCTCAGCCACGTAACCATCTTTCCAGTGCAATTTTCCTGCAACTTACACTAGATTATTAACATCTGTGTCCAACATTTGTTATCAAATTGGAATAAATGGATGCAACTGATAAGTTTACACATAAGAACATGTAGTTAAATTTGTTGGCAAACTTAAAAATCCCGTTGCGGAGCGCAGTTGCCATAGTTATTATTATTTTATCTCTATAAAAGAACAAGTAGGCAAGGTACTATTGCATAGTGTCCCATCACAAGGGGTTTCTTTTTGTAATTAACCAAAGTTTGTGGTGCATTTTTTGCATTAAGGTTCTAATTAATTCTTTTATGACAATTGAATCCAAATTGAACCCAAATAAATTGACATTCGACGTACTTTGACCCGGTTAAAGCGAGCTTAACCCGATGTTGACGAATTTTGCCTCAACAATGAGTTTTTCACGCTTAAATTTATTAAATTGACCAAAACTTGAAAGAGTTCTTTACATTAAGGTTCTAATTAATTAACTTATGACAATTGAATCCATATTGAACCCAAATCAATTGGTATTCGACCTACATCGACCCGGTTAAAGGCAGTTGAATCCGGTGTTGACGAATTTTGGCTCAACGAGTTTTGCAAGCTTAAGTCGATGTCCATTCCTTTCGACCTAATGTCGAACTGGTTAAAGCGAGTTGAACCCTGTGTTACCGAATTGTATTCGACCGTATTCAACACGGGTTTGATTGGTCTTTCCTTGCAAATTTTTCGTTGTGTCGACCTTGCAAATGTTTTTGGTTTCTGTTTTTGGATTTTGTGGCGAGTTTTATCATCATTCCCTCGAACCAGTTAAAGCGAGTTGAACCCGATGTTGCGAATTAGTTTCTAACCACATAGCCTTTTTTGTAGGTTCTAATTAATTAACTTATAACAATTGAACTCGAATTGATACCATAATCATACTACACTAACCATTTCCGCCACATTTTGTACGCAGAGTCTTCACGACCAGGGTTTTACTTAGGATGTGCATTTTGTTCTAATACAGCTAGGGAGTTTCAAGTACTGCTGATTTTTGGTGTGAAGAGCATGGCCAATTGATTCCTCAGGAAACCCAAAATTGGTCAATTTAGCATCAAACAGTTTTTTTCCATTACGAGTTCCAAAATCAGTTAAACCCTTAATTTCTGACACATTTTTCCAGCTACAAATCCATTTAGCGGTGGGGGGACACTACTGGTTCCGCATGCTTCATTATGCTTGGGAAAACCGCTGAATATTTGCTTGGAGTTGCTGCTGACGAACTATCAGCACCTTGCCCTCAAAAGCATGGACATTTCCCTCCATAAATTGTTGCCATGAATGGACGTTGGTTTTCATTTGACGTTCAACTCCCTAAGCATGGATATTTGCCTCAGACCCCCCCCCCCTGGAGTTTACTATCCTTTCTGTAGTCGGCCACAACCAGCTTCAACAATAGCCCAAGCAAACTGCAACGCAGACACGGATCACCCACCCAGCAACATCATCATCCACGCCAGTGGATTCTTACCAGCATAGATTAACGGTGTCCATGAAAAAATACCCTATCTGTGAAATAAAAAGTGTCTTAAGATGTTACCGAACAAAAAACTTCTACTTCATTAGTCTGGGAACAAATGTTAACATGCAAGACTTTTGCTATCACCTATCTACCATATTGCCTCTACTCTTGTGGGTACTTGCATAACATGTGATCCTGCTTTCTAACTCTTCTGGCTCCTTAATTAGCACTACTTTTATACTGCATTTTTAAGGGGACAATGTCAACATCTCCACCACTTCCAACAAGCATTTACATAACTTTCAGTTGCCCCACCATCACCAAATGACACTCTTTTACATCACATCACATTCAATGCAAAACAGTAATTAATCAATTTGACAGCAACCAATATGTACTGTTGCTTTAGTATGGCAACACCCACTTTGCAATACAAAATAATATTATGTACCTAATGTTTAATTCCAGTGCAAAGTTTCTACATGTACAAATCATATGTTTTTTATTAAATCGGATGTTCTCTACTCAATCTACTCATGGGCACACAAATATGTCAATTTCCAAAGCAAACTCCACATTTTTCCAATACGAACTCCCCGCCGCGGAGCGCGGGTTTCCTGACTAGTTAGTAGTAAAAGAGCAACACATAATAATAAAGAAAGAAAGAAACAAACAAAATGTGTGAAACTAATCAACAAGCCTTTTTGCTTAGGCACAAAAGTTAACACCACGTAAGCATGAAACACACTTCATCTGGGATTGCAAGGGATTGTATCGCGTCTTCAGAAATCTCCATCGAATGAGGAGCACTGCCGCCGTTATCCATCTGTATGGTCACATGTTTCAAATCACACCTCCAGCACTTACCAGTAGAAGCAGCAGCAGCGTCGCCACCACAACAGTCAGGAATTCGGTGGTTTCGGTTCACCAATACCCTGCACATGTGCTGTTGTTGCAGAAGCAAACATTGTTGTTTATAATTAGTACTCGTCGCTTTGGTACATACATACATACATACATATTCCGATCCAAAATTATACCACAAATGAGAGATCATATGTATGTACCTCACAAAAGAGCTTGTAGCCAGACTTGTTTTGGGTGCTCTTGACCAATATGAACTGCGGACGGCACATCCAGAACACACCATCCACAAAAGCTGCAACGTTCTTCTTCATGTCGCCAATGTCCCGCACCGTTGCCGCGAAGCGCAGTAGATGTATACTCGGAGGTGGCGGGGAGTAGTCATCACCAGCAGCAGCAGCAGCTTGGATAAAAGGCGCCTGGTCTCTTGAGACATCGAGATAGTGGAAGTGCAAGTCTACTCGGGGCTGAGTGCTGCTACTGCTGAAGCGGAAGAGGAACTGCCTCAACTCAATGAGCCACTGCCTCGTGGTCGCCTCCGGCACTTGAATGAAGCATCGGCAGGTTGATGCCACCTTGACCAAGTTGAGGTTGCTCTATGGGAAGCCAGCAGGGGAAGTGGTGAAGTTGAGGGTAACCAAATCAGTAGCGTCGATCTCGAACTCGAGCTTAAGCTCCCGCCGTACCTCGCTGCCGAAAGCATCTTCCAGCGTCAGTGTCCTCAGCTTGGGCGCGGACAGCCTCACCCTGCCGCGCCTGGTCACGTCGAGGCAGAGCGTGTCCAGCGAGGGGGAGCAGCGAGAGACGAATTCATGGAGATCCAGCATCGTGAACGCGTGGAACACGCCGAGGATCTTCAGCACCCTGAGATTGGGAGCCGAAAAGGAAGGCTCCACGGCCAGCCCGACGAATCCGCACACGGTGTCGATCTCCAGGGACGGCTGTAGCGAGGCGGATTTCTCGGAGATCAGAGAGGCCGCGGAGCTGGATGGTCTTCAGGCTCTTGGCGGTGGAGGCGATTGCCAGCCTTAATATGCAGGAAACGTCTTCCAACCGCAATGACTCGAGGAGAGGAGCGCTCGTCAGGAAGCTGCGGAGTAGCTGCTCGCTCAGCTCGACGTGGTTGAGATGGACAACCGAAGCATTCCGAGAGATGACACGTTACTGATGCTGTCCGTGAGATCGCAACCCACGAGATTTACAACTCGTGTGTGCTCGGGAAACGTCATCCCTCGCGGAAACTGGTAATAACTTTCGATGTCTGCTTCAATGGTGAAGTCAACCAGCGGGCGAGGGGATAATGGAGATGTAGATGATGATGATGATAGGCAGTGGCAGATGAACAGCAGTAACTGGTCCAAGTAATTTGTTGGGTATTAGCGGAATTGTGGTGGAAAATAGGATCAAAACAAAGGAAACAATTGGTGTTTAATCACTCTTTTTATAAATCACTCAAACAAACAAGGCCTTAACTTTTGGCTCTTGTTGCTTACAAACACATAGATACAGAGACTTCTTTCTTTCTTTATGTCTCTCTGACCATACTATCTTTTTATCCATTCCATACTTGCAACATATATATAATGTAAATGAAATGAGAAGAACCAAAAACACACCACTTGCATGCAACGTAAATGAGAAATGACATGATTTTAAATGTGTCCCCCTGCATTATTTTCTTCTTCTATCTTCTTATCCATTTGTTGTGAGTACTTGCATCATTTGATGGCACTAACTCTTCCACGTTGAGTTGTTGTTGGCAGGACAATCCATCATGCAAATTGGTCCTCCATTTATCATGCATTGATGATTAATAATTCTCCACAATTATCAAACGAACCCACCATGTGTGATGTTTACTACTTGCATATTATTGCAAATTATCAATCAACATAATCGTGGCAAGATTCAGAGACGATTGAGATCCTGAATTCCACCAGTGGAAGCGGAAGAAGTAGAGGAAGCCTGCTCGAAGCAGCGGCTACGAATCGGCAGAACGACGCTGCTTCTTCTGCTGCAGGAGAAGGACAAGAATTGCGCCATCTTCTTGGCGAGAAGAAGCTGCTGGCTCTCTCTTTTCCTACCGAACAAGAATCGCCACCGCCGTGGAACTCCAAGACAGGGTAGCAGCGCCAGAGATCGCGCCATCGTCTGGACAGCAGGCTGGTTCTGGCCGCCGTCTTTGTCGAGTTCGTGGAGCGAAGGATGTGGTGAATAATATCGTCTGAAAGTTGGGAGATCTTGTCTCTCTGATCATCTCTGTCATTTTGTTTACTCCCAAAACATATACAGCTCGCCATTGTTTTGTATATGGGGATCGTGAATGAAACAGAGTGACATGGGAAAACCAGAGTAGAAGGAACCCATACTGCAATTTATATGTAAGGACACGGCTTAGCATCCTTCTTGTTAATTACAAGTGGAAAACCTTGGTGTACAAGGCAAGCTAATTAATACATACAACACTAATTAGGAAGAAGAATAGCTACCTTTCCTTCTTTGAATCCGCGCAACTAACTAGTTAGTTTCAGGATTCTAACATAGTATGAAATATGGGTTAATTGCAAGTTTGGTCACTATATTTACTAAAAAGGTTCATGTTTTGTTAGAAACAAGGTTTCTAACATATTAGAGATTGGGGAATTTAGCTAGATCAATTAGGAATTGATTTGACTAGGAATTGGAATTTGGGAAATAGAGAACAAAAGGGAGAGGGAAAGACTGTTGCTGCCGCAGCTTTGGAAGAAGAAGAGAGGGTGAGGATCGGCGCAGGAGAGAGGGAAGAGAGAGAGAGATTAGGTTTAGGTTTTTGGTAATTGATTGCTTAATGAAAATAATACCACTTCTACAGATTATATAATCCGCATAATCGCTATCTCCTACCCAACTAATAAAACTTAACAATCGACTCCCTGTTTATTTCCTGAATTCCCCAAATAATCCCTCAATTATCAAAAACCGACAATAATACGAAATAACCAAAAACTGCAAATAATGTGTTTCCCACATCCCCGCCTTCTTCGGAAACAACCTTGTCCTCAAGGTAGTGGGTCCTACTCCAACTCTGGCGGCCCTTCCTCGGCTGCTTCCTCCTCTGCTTCATCTTCCCAACGACTCCCTGTTTAAATATTTTCAGTACTTTCTTTCCTTGAGAATGCTAAAATTTCAATTTAAGTTTACAGCAATAGAGGATTTTTTTTTTTCTTCGATGAGGTGGCCGACACCAACGAGTGGATGTAAATGGTGATTGTTTTTATTTTTATATTACATGTTATTGTTTTAGAGTTTAAGATTGAAATAAAAAATAAATTAAGAATATTAGAATAAATTTAATATATTTAGGGCGACGAATAAACATTTTTAGGGTGACGAATAGCAATCCCCATGAAATATGGGTTAATTGCGAGTTTGGTCACTATATTTACTAAAAAGGTTCATGTTTAGTCACTAAAAATATTTAATTTCATTCATGGTCACTAAAATTACTTTACCCATCCAAGTTTGGTGACTAAAAATATTTAATTTCATTCATGGTCACTAAAATTACTTTACCCATCCAAGTTTGGTCACTTACCGTCCAAATCCGTTAATTTTATCAATGTTGTCAGAACCGAACCGGAGCATGACCCGGTAATGCGAACGGCTCGCACTTTAGCGGTCCAACCGGCATTAGACCGTTTCAAAACCGTTAGAGAACCAGTATCTAATAAACGTTATTAGTATAAATAGTGGACATTTCTTAATCAGAGCTCATCTCTTTCCTACGAAATTGTGAAATGGAAATAAGGATTCAATTTGAGAGCCCGACGTTTTTGGTTTATTTCAATTTTCAATTTCTACAATTTTTTAATCAAATTTAGTGGCTGAATGGCAAAAACCCGACGATCGGCTCGAACGGTTAACCGCCTCGGCCGCTCGCCAACCGCTACATCAAACCGGAGCGGCTTTTAGACTGTTCCGAGCCGGTTTTGTGACCCAGTGGCGGTTTTACCGGTCGGGCCGAGCGGCTCGGTTCGGCTTTAATAACACTGAAATTTATCTAATGTGGCGGTCAACTCTTATAGTTGACCGTTAATATATGACGTGTCAATTAAAAAATAATAAACAAATAATATTTTTATCTCCTAAAATTTCCACATCACTATCAGAAGCTTAAAAAAATATCAAAACCAGGGAGGCAGGTGAGATGAGTTGGAGCCCTTCTTTGATCAAATTAATACCTGACCTTCTTCACTGCAGCGGCAACGATGATAGTTGGAGCCCTTCTTTGATCAAATTAAAACCTGACCTTCACTACAGCGGCAACGACACTCAAAACCTGCTTCGAAATCAAATGGAGAGATGACACATCCATGAGTAAATGATTAGTCCCCTGCAATACAAGTCCACAAGTAGATCTCCAACAACCTCAAGCCCCCAACTTCCAATGGGTCTTTCCTAATACCAATCACCAAATAGTAACAACGACGCCCTCATTTTCCCAGCTAACGATTCAGAGCAATGAAAAAGAATCACTTCCTCTTGTTGCTCTATTCTGGAATGGAGCTCTCTGGTAGTGAAAAGTGAATACGACTGGCGGAAACGTGACCGTGACGAGAGATGAGGGGGATCTATGTGTGTTTCGTGGGTTTTGGATCAGGAAATTGTGGCTAAGGGCTAGGTTGCGAAATGGGAAAGTATCTCCTGTTGCCGGCTGCCGACGAATCTTCAAGGAGGATGCTGAGAAAGACAGCGACTGGCAGCGGATGATTTCTGCTAGGTTTTTTGGTAGGAACATTGACGATGGTGGTGACGAATTGGGTCTACTAGTTCAGCTGATGGGATCCCGCCGCAAACCTCTCGCCTTCTTCCTCTTCGCACCAACAAACCTCCAAATCCTTCACGCCGCGGCTTCATGCCTAGGGCACCGCTACTGGTATGGTCACCGCCGTCGAGGTGGCTATTGCGAACGCCAAAGCCGCCGCCGAGCACGTACACCTCACCGCCTCCAATAACCCTCACGAATTTTAGCTATGAGACAAGAATAGGGCTGCCATTGTTTGCGACGAGGTGGTAGTGAAGATTGAATTAGAAAATTGAATTAGGGATTTTGAAGAAATTAGGTTTTTTTAATAGTATTAGGTGGAAAATTATAAATATTAATTCAATTATTTTTTAATTATCGTGTCAGATATTTAACGGTCAACTTTCACATCAGATAAAGTTAATGAACTTGGACAACAAGTGACTAAACTTGGATGGTTACACTAATTTTAGTGATTTTTAAATGGAATTAAATATTTTTAGTGACCAAATATGAACCTTTTTAGTAAACACAGTGACCAAACTTGCAATTAACCCTATGAAATATTGTTTTTTTTTTTAACAAATTCAACTGCTCCTTGTCACTGCAATAATGCCTACGTTCTGCGCATCCTAGATTGCCTTTCTGCATCGACCAACGATAAATCTTGTCAATGAAGCCGCAAAGCACTAAAGAGGGAAATTATTCCTACAACAATCCTCCATCGTGTTGACAAAGGTTCAAGCAAGCAACCCACTTCAAAATGTTAACAGGTACAAAGCACTTCTACAACACAACAGATTTTGCTGATGGTGAGATTGGACTCCCAAGAATTCGGCTACAACATGATCCCGCCGCAAATTGCTGAAGATTTTTGAATCTGAAGCGAGATATCGCAACAACTGCTTACTGTTTGGCTCAGAAAATGTATGCCGAGGCAAGGGCAGTCATCACTGTGGTCAGAAGTACGGAGACCAAGTTCACGGCGTTGTTGTCCAGAATGCTGATCCCTGAGATCCTCTTGACCGTCGGTCCAGGTTTTCCAACAACCTGCAAGGACAAGGAAAGATGAACAGGTGTTGAGCTCAGCAGCAGCTTAAATTTTTAGTGGCGAGGTTTCTTTCACAATTTCAGAGAGGAAAATTGTCATCAAAGAGTCCGGCATACTTTCTGACGAACGGTGCAGAATCCACTGAACTGCAGTGTCGCACCAAGTAGAGAATCGATTGTACTCCCACAGAGTCCTGCTACTGCAGACAGTGGTATGACAAAGAGCTGCTTCAGAGCGACATCAAAGGAGCAACTTGTTGTGAGGAATCCCAAGAGCACGAATGCAAGTCCTATGAGACCTCCTGCTGCTGCAGCCGCTAGGAATCCATCTTTAGTCACACCGCCATTTGTACCCTTCCGAACAGGCTGATATGTCATTCGAAAGAAAACAAAATCAGCAAATCAGAATCTGACAATCACCCAATTACCTAGCATTGACTTTGCGCAGAAATGAAGACTACACATGCAGGAGCTATCATCCACCGGGAACACGGAAAGTGATCCGATGAAAATGGAAGGTATCAGCAGAGAATATTCTTCCATCATAACTGGGAAGATATCTTATGACTCGTCATAAGATCGGAAGATCATAGATGTTCTAGACATAATGTTTGATGAGAATTATTGAGAGTGCTAATACCTTGAATGTTGTGATCAATCGAGGCTGCGCATCACTGAGTACCCCAAGCTCGGACGACCAGGTATCTCCATTGCAGCAGCAGTAGTGACCTAGTATTCCACCGATCAGTGCAGTGATGAGAGTAGACTGTTCAGTGTCCAAGCACTGATCCTTTGACCCTGCCAGCTTCCAAATAGTAAGAGCCAAAGCTGAGGCGATTCCACTGTTGGAGAACACTTGTATCCTGCATGTGGAAACAGGGATTACGCATTGTCAAGAAAGGGAGAGACTAAAGCCTTTAGTTCGCAAAATCGACACCATATGCTTAGGCAGCCAAGCAAGTTATGGTTCTTTGCTTAAGCTGGGAGGGAAATCAGCTCACCAGGAAACAGAAATCCATGGCCACATTAAGCCAAGAGCGGCATTTCAGAGATGAGATTTTTCACCTAACATATACTAGTTCATCATTCAACCTAATCTCACAGGATTCCAAGAAAAATGACAGAAAGAAGTGAAGTTCTGAGTAATCATCTTTGGTTTCTTCACAATCAAGAATCTCTCTAATGCAACAGCCACATCCAGATTAAAACCAGAGGAATTGCCTAACAAGTTGTTAATTATCTCAATCGCGGAAAGGAACCAGTTCACAGAGAGAGACCGGACTGAAGTACGAAACAGTACCAATTTCTTTGTCCGCCTTCCTTGAAATCAGCATCGATGCGCCTCTTCTTCTCTTCCCCGACCTTTGTGAGCTTCGAAGAACTGAAGAAGAAGACCAGCAGAATCGCTCCGAACCTGAAACCATACCACGCGAGAAACGTAACTACCAGAGAGAGCGGGAAGCGAAGCGTATGATTTTCTAACCAACCAAACGGACAGCCAGAACAAGGAGAAATAAGAGAAACAAGATTCAGAGACTGGACCTGTAATTGACCGCGAAGTGAAGAGTCATGACGAGGAATCCAGCGAGTCCGCCGGACAAGTTGAGCGACTTCCTCCGATAAGCTCTGATCGCGACTGCGGAAGATATCAAGACGGCGACCAACGGCTGAAGAAAGTCCATCTTCTCCATTCTTCGCGATAGGAATTTGACCGGCGACCAACAGAATCACTTCCAAGAGTTCTTGGGAGAGAGCAGAAGTATCTGCGAGATGGCGATGGCGGAAGTCTAATTTAGACTTTCCTGGCCTGTTTTTATAAGAGCAACTGGAATGCCCAATCGTCGTTTAGTTTTTGGGGTTAGTTAAGAAGTGCGGGCAGTCCTTCCTTTGGCTTTCCCGTCGCTTGGTCTGATTCAGTCAACAATAGGACACTGGACTAAGTGACCAACTTCGTTGCAGTTTAATTTATTGAAGCCTAACCAACGCGAGCACTTACCATTAATAATACCAACTTTCAGAAGCAATAACCTCACGTTTTTATCAATTTTCTTCTGAAAAATCAAATACGTTTTCTTAATTTTTATGGTTATCGTAATCTACTCAATCAGCGTAATCTTGTGGAAATTACATAAAAACAATTGTCATTACACCATTGGATCGTGCATCCCAGCATTAGATCCACATTTATGGTTGTGCATCACAAGATGTCCGATCCAACGATAAACGTGACAGTAGCCGAATTCGTGAGCCTAACCACTATATCAGTACGAAGAATATATATATATATATTAAAAAAAAAAAAAAGAAGTTTAACAAGACATGAGTGGGAGTGACGATTGACGAACCAGTTAGTATTGGCGTACATGATAAAGAGGGTTCTGAAAACTAGTCGGTTATGTACAGCGATCTTTCAGACCTGAACAAGTTAAGTAACTTAAGATCAGACAGTGAGAAGCTATGGCTATGGTGAAAAGTAAAGCAACATTCAAGACGTTTAAGAACTTCATCTCCTTGATCATTTTTCACCTGGTTAGAGGAATGCTGCGTGTAGCCAAAGTGCAAGTCATTTCACAGGTGAGGGGGTATAGAAAGGTATGATCATCACATTCAACCATGTCTTCCTCTCCCTCTTCCCCTTCCACTGCCCCTGCCTCTCCTTCCTCTTCCTCTACCACCCCGCCGGTCCATGCCATGACCGCCGTTGCCATCCCTCTTAAAGTTGAACATGGACATCCTAATGTCGGTTGCTACCGCGTCTTTTGGTCCTCTTTGCACCTGGACGAACACGGACATGAACGAGAATATGAGATCAAGGATTCACAAAGACAATGGTGAATATGAAGTACAGATGATGCGGATAATACGAACATGAGAATCTTCCATGTCGAGTTGGGTTTGGAGCTGCCATGCAAGATCCTCGTCATTGCTGGTATCTGGGAACTCGTTTCTGGTGTGTGGCTTAGCTCCACTGTTTCTATTTTGCCACTCCTCTAGCGTCCAAGTCTGAGATTCTTCCTCGTCATCTCTCCCCCTTCCTCTGTATTGTCCACGGCCTCTGGAGCGCCGGTCGAATTGTCTAGGAGGTGCCATCTTCTGGAGGAGCTTCTGAGCAGCAGCTTGGTTTTGCACAGGTGCTGATTCAGTCACTGAAAATCGCACATACATTGGTGTTGGTATTTGCAAACAGAATCTTAAGTTCACTAGAATTCTAGTTGTAGAGTGAAATTCTGCAACCATGTTTCACCTTATCCTAAACCTTTGATGCAATAACTACACATTCTTCTGGTTGGAACATGGTTCATAAGCACGACCTGATGTGCCTAAACTGCTTTAATTGACAATAAAATAGCTAGGGTTGCTGGAAATTGAAAGGAATTGGGAAATTTAGGGTTTTGGTAGGTTAGATGGAGGAAGAACCGCCACACCAGTCGGTGATAAGGTTCGGGGCAAGGCGCCACAACCAGGGGTTGATAAGCCTATGAAATCACAAGGAAATATTTCTTGCAACTCTTGAAAACTCTTATTGAAATCTGAATACTGAATTGAATAAAACTGAACTACAAGCCTGCTATTTATAGAGAGGCTAACCCAATAGAAAAGACTTCCTTCTACACCTAAGAAACTGGAAAGTAATAACTCTACCACTAGGAAACAAATAACACTCATACTTAAGAAATTAAACAAAGCTAATATAATAATAGACTCTTAAACCAACATGGACAACAATTAAGCATCTCCTCCAAATCCTTGTTGGACAAGGATAGTTGTAAGAAATCCTCAATTCTCAATTAACCCGTAGGTCTTGTTTGTAGATCCATTTTCACCCATCTTGAATGCTCCTAAACTCTCTTTAAACCTCCTAATTTGTCTATTGACCCATGGTCCATGTAGAGATATAATTTGGAATCGAATTAGGTCATATAGGGTTGGTATAATCCCATCACGACCTACCAATACTTTTCCAAAATACCACCCAAATTTGGGATCACAATCTACACATTTCGACAAACCATCATTCAAACAACCCATAGAGATTGAGATACTAATCCATTGAGCATTGACCAATAGTATAAGAGTGGCACTTCCTTATCCTCCACGTCGAAATATAACATGTCCATAAATGTAGATCCCACCATTTTCTGCCAGTATTGACTTCGTAACAAGTGGAAATCATACAAAAAAGTTTGGAACGAAAAGTAAGAGAAAAAACTGCACCTTCTTTTGGCCGAATGTATGAGGTGGTTGCCTTTGGTTCATTACTTGCTGCAAGTGGGGCTGGTTTCAGATTGCTAGTGCTGGTACTATCTGCAATGTTTTGAACTTCCTCAGAAGCAGAAGGGAATGTGGACTTGGAGGTAGAAGCAGAGTAACCTTCAAAATTAGCATGTAGTATTCGTTAGTGATTGATTCCCGGAAACAGCTAATCCCATAAGCATCTTCCCACAAGGACACCCCTCTGTGTAATTATTATCTTAATAGTTTAACCTGAACCTGTAGAGTACTCGTGAATTACCCTTCAAAACGAAACCAAAACAGACAGATACCACACATTAATTTACTCTTCTTTTTTCTCTTTTTGAAGAGGAAACCCAAATAGTGATGCTTCCTCCATGGCTACAGACTCATCTCAAACTTCCAATCAATGATGAAAACATCTCCGGTGTACAAATGTATCCTAAGTAGGATTATTCTAATCTTGCTTACTAACGTAAAATGGTTCTCTAATCTAGCAAAGTTCTGAAGTTACGTATAACTGTATAAGCTTCCCATCCGATGAAAAGAGAGCCATATTCACACTCCAGGAAAAAAAAGGGTTTGTTAATGTAGAACAAAAGCAAACAAACGTTCTGACCTTCCCTTGGTCCCATTGCATATGGAAGAGGCCTCCACTGTGCATTTTCCTTGGCCTCCAGTGTTTTCACTTTGTCAACTACATTTTCTGCTTGTTTTATAACATTCTCTAACCCAACTTCAGGTTTCGTCACAAATCCTTCAGCTACAGGCATGCTGCTTTTTGAAATAGCCTGAAAGTAATCTACAAACAAAAGTAACTTCAGCCATTCTAACGAGACATGCAATCACACCAATTTGACACTAAAATCTGAGCGATTACCAGAAACTCTGCTTCTCTGAGAAGAAGGACGAATGGAGGAGGCTCCAGCTTGCAACTTAGCAAAAGCAGGAGGGCCAGCAACACCGCCTTCCTCAGTCGGACGCAGTGAAGAACGCGAGAACACGGAGTACTTCTGGTTCATATGCCATTCATCATAAAGCGATTGAACAACGCCTCCAATCACAGTCATCACTTTAGGGTTCAAGCACAATATTCCACTATGAATCGTAGCTTTGTTCTCCACACGAACCTACCATTCGAAAACCGGCAAGAATTTACAACAGAATTCGATCATTCTGACCTCAAGAAAACAAAACAAACAAGCGGCTAGCAAATCGATACCTTGGCGCCGGGAGCGATATCATTCCCAACAGAAGGCAAGTGGGAGTACTCAATTGCGGGTATCTCGCTGTGACCATCGGTGAGAACGAGCTTGAGCAGGCGCCGGTGGCCGGAGCTTGAAAATGCGTCTATGGTACTGACGGCTACGTCTCTCACGGAAGATATCTGAAGCACTTTGCGTCCTTGAAGATGAGAAGCTTTGCGAAACGAGATGGCGTCCGGCAATGACTTGCCGCCTATGGATCTAAGGTCCATATCGAGGAGTTGAGACTCGACGGAATCGGCAATTGTGGAAGCTTTGCCATCGTCGGATAAAGCTGATTGGACCAGGACAATGGCATTTACTTGATCGAGGTCGCCGATACACCAGCCTCTGGTTTTTAGGGTTTGTATGACGCCCTCTGCGATTTTGCTCGACCTCGAGGTCTCTCCCTCCATTTCTATGGCGTTTTGGTGTAACTGGGAGTCTGGGACTTGCAGAGAACTCTCTCCGTTTCGAAACGGGCCTCAATTTATTTATCAATGAAAAAGTCCCCCGTCTCATGATTGACGAACTTGAGCCCCGGCCCGTTTTGAGAAAGTACTCTATCCTTTGTATAAAAATTTTGGGTTAACACTAGGATCTGCAATTGCGGGTTTTTCTAAATTGTGTCCACATCTTCAAATATCCAAACCTAATATCCATGCAGGAGGATGTTTGACAAACTCATCCCCATATCGGTGAGTTTCGGGTACCCATGAGTAATATCCATACTCGTACATCCAACATTATTATCCTAAAATTTACATGAAAAATTTTAACTACAACTCTAAACGTACCTATTATATCACGAATTCAACAAAACACGATCATTTTCTTAATATGGTTCAAAGAATATGATCCTAAAACATTAATTAATACATAATATAGAGTATAATATTTTTCAAATTATTATGTTCTAACTCTGATACATCTACTAAGTAATTATTAACTAACATAATCTTGTTGACAATGGGGGAAAGTGAAAGAGTGAAAGGAGAATTGAGGGAAATGAATTAGGTTTTGATTAAGGTGGTCACTCAATTGCATTTCTACTATTTATTTCCTCGAGGTATTCTCATCGCCATTGATAGATTACAATTTTATCCACATATTTTTGTATATGTGAAGAAATTCTCTTGGTGGGGCAGATATGGGTATGGGTATGGGGCGGGGAGGCTAAAATCATACCCGCCCCATACCCATCAAACTTTTTGCGGGTTTTACCCTTACCCGCCCCATACCCGGTCAAAGCGAGGATTACTCGTGTTGACTGGGTCGGGGGCAGTCGGATACCAGCGGCCATGGGTTTGATTGCCATCCCTAGTTAACACGAAATTAGCCAAACCTTTTCTGAAATACTTTTTATTAGTCAAATTTATTGAATTATTAATAGTTAGTCAAATTTTTTGTAATACATCAAAATATTAGTATTTTTATATTATCGTAATAATTTTATAACTCTTTTCTTATTTAAAATACTAAAGTTTTGGAAAGTTGACTTCCATGTGTCTCTTCCAAGTCAGTATCATATTGGCAAGTCAATATTACTAACAAAATTACTAACTAAAAGTTAACATTTGATTAATTATTAGTAATTCAATAGGTTTGGCTATTTAAAAATAATATTGAAAATGTTTGGCTATAATTAGTGGTTGCCCTATAATTTTTTGGTAGAATCCTTGCTTAACATTTCGAACTTATGGTCACTTATCCTTGGACTATTTCATTGTGAGCACGTTTAACTTCTTACAAGAATTCTTTCATATTATCCCAAAACAAGTTTTGCCAGTTAAGTTCGGGTTCTTAGGAACCATAGATCTCGAAATAAACCACTATACGGCTTGATTCTTTTTTTTTTTTTTAAATCAGCAGAAGGCTTTGGTTCATTTTTTAAGGGTAAGTTTGCCTGTGTTTTTTTTTATGATGTGAGATGTTTTATCAAAATTCAATTATCTAAGAATCATCGTTTGTCGGAGATTTTATATATGTACGTGGTGTGAAAGTTGGTTGCAGTTGATCCAATCGATAAATAAAAATTGAATACCATTTATCAGGTCAATAAGTGAAATCATCAACAAATTGTGTTAAGTGACTTATGACACTGCTAAACCTAATTGTAAAATTAAGTCAAATTAGATGACTGATGCAAAACAAATTTTTATGTTTCATCGAGTTATTATGAGGATGGATAGTCGGCCATTTTGGATGACCATGGCGGGAAATGAAGATTTATTATTCGTTCAGAGTAGAGTTTGTTAAAATAAACGACAAAACCAAAATCATCAATGTAGTAACTAGTGTGAACTTGTTTAGCAAAAGTATAAAAAATTTATTATAATGAACATATCCTGCAAGACAATCATTCAAGAACTTATCACCTATTTGATTTCTAAATTTGTTCTTGATGTACCCCAAAGATGAAGAAATCCTTTCAACACTTACAATTGAAATCGGTAATAGCAATACCATTTTGAGAAGAAGATATACCATGACTATGATAGATTCAACTCCTCCACCGAACTGGGAGAGAAGAAAAGTCCGGCACGACGGCAACCGACAACGCAGACCATAGCAGCAACTCAGTTCGATAGAGGCTGTTTGTTTTCCTTTCGAATGCACAATCAATCATTGATTTGGTTTTAGGATCTCGGAGAAAAATCAGAAATTTTGAGTATAATTGGAGTTAGAGATTAAACTATAAATATAATCATGTCCGAATTCTTATAAAAAAATTCATTGTTATCTAATGGTAAAGATGTTCAGTAATAATAACAGTGTTCCGAGTTTGAAACCCAACAGTTATTATACATTTGTTCCTTTTTTTCCCTAGATTCATACTACTACTAGGGATGGTTTTTTTCCCCAAACTTTCGGGGACACTCCTATCTTAATTTTGGGTCCGTCCCTGATCGTGAGTGTGGCGGTTGGAGAGTCGATGGGAGAGTTGGGTCAGTAAGAGTTGGCCGGAAAAAGATGAGATGGTGGAAGAAGAAAGTCATGTGAGTTTTTGAAATGCTAGGGGGTAGTTTTTAGAAAACTCACATTTGTGGATTTTCAAAATTCCACATTTCCATGTAACGTCCTTTCCAAATGTTGTATTTGGACAAAAACTCATATTCTGTGGGATTGTGGAGAAATCTCACCTTAAATTCCTAATCCAAACTACAAAAAAAAAAAAAAACGTAATGCCTAAGTACCTAACATGGACATGAAATGGAAGCTATAAGCCTATAACCATAGTTTGGAGCTCCATGATCGGTCTTGAAACATGCATAAATATGGACTAATAATTATTGAGCCCTTAGGAGTTAAGACGGTAGATCATAGATGTGTTGTTTGGGGCAGGAAGGAGTTACCCAGAAGATCGATAAGACGGCAATTTAATGTCCCCAACTCCCACAGGCCAGCTAATTTCGAGGCCCAAATTAAACTACCCTACGGGGATTGCCTTGCAAGTCAAATCTCCCCTCTCCCACCTAATATTCGGCTAAACATAGGACTTTGTAGTTGATTTTGTGTTGTTCTCAAACTAGACACGAACCCACGTCCTATTTTTCATTTAGAAAAAAGATAGAGATCTAGAAACTCTTGTACTATCATATCAAGGTAAGTAATCACATATAGCGTTTTAAAAAGGACAATATATTGTAACATCATAACCCTTTCCTCATCACCATATTGTTTGCTTTGAGGGTACTATTGCACGGTTCTGTTTTTTGGACGCATCATGATGAGTTCCCGAATGGTCATCGATTTTTGCACTGCTGCACAGGGAACACGTTTAACTTCATAATTCTTATAGGAACTCATTCATTTCATCCCAAAGCGGGTCTTATCAATTAAAGTTGGATGTTTCTTATGAATCGTATATCTCTCTTGTGTTTTGTTGATGTGTAATCTGCATAATGTGTTACATATATTTTACACACAGAAAAAAAATTTGAAATTTTGTAATCCTTTATAGCCGTAAATCACCTATGGTCGATTTTAATTATTATTTACATCTTGCTCATTCTGATAAGTATAGACCAGTCAACCAAAGTTCGCATCGCTTGCGAGAATGGCCAATGAGAATGCTATTCAAGTGTATGATCTAGCGAGCCGCCACAAATGAGATGTTATTTGGATGCAAACTCGTAGGAATGGAGCAAAATAACAACTTTATGAAGTTTAAATTGCCTTAAAATGTATTAAAAAAAACTATATGTATCAAGGGGGAAAATATATTGAAGTTTGATTCAAGTAGAAAAAATAAATTAGAGGGAGGAGAAGTAAAGTTTTCCCAAGTATCTTCCCTTCTTTGTCCTCACTCGTTGAAAAGTGTTATTAAGTATGGACGGCGAAGGGAAACACGGCACATGGTTTCTCAATAAGTTCAATAATTACGATTATTTACCGATTTACTTATTCATACTTACATTTTTTTTCCTCCATAATTCAGACTTACAAACCTTACTTGCCGACTTGCAATGTTGCATCTTTTCTATTAATGGACTTGCTTATAAGTCAGCGAAGATAGGGACATAGCCACATAGGGTAACAAGAGTTCTTAAACTCCACATCTTATTAGCATCATAGCACACGGGACACGATAACAAAATGCAATAAAAAGTAAAGATATTTCTCAAATTATATGTGTCTTGAATTATCAATTATTATAATTTATTGGTAGAATTGCTGACAAATGTGATGAGAATTTATTTTTCAATTTTGGATGAGAGTCGTATCTTTGTTTTTTGTTTTATAAACTAATTATCTTAAATAAAAGACATAACACATGAAGTTACTAAAACTTTTCGTGCATGTTATAGACCTTTTCGAATTCATTTTAGGGAAGGATTTCTTGATTTCGCGTTTGAGCTAGAGTCAATTAAATGTGAATTTTTTACCGGTTGATATAACAGCGATGAACGATCCAAATGCTTTTGAAATGGGTATTAGAACCGCTTCATCTCAGCAATACAAGTTGTTGTACAAGATGTCAAACGTGAGTTTGATTTTTTTGTTGAATTGATGACAAATAAATTTGATCGGAGTTTTACCTTATTTTGGATGATAGTCCCTTCATTACGAGAGGAAAAACTCTCATAAAGAGAATAACATAATAAGTCAAGTTGCTAGAATTTTCCATGCATCTTATATGCCTTTCGAATCCCTTTTAGATTTCATTTTTGAGTCGGAGTCAATTACAAGTGATTTTTGCACCAATTGATATATGTTGAGTGAGGTAACACTATGAGTCAACCTAACTAGTTAACACCATAATACATGAGCTTAGATCTAGCTAGTAATCATTTTATTACAATTGGAAAGAAGTTTGATGATTAATTTGTTAAAATTGAACTTTTAACTAGTGCAAGGGAGGCATGTCACTCTTCTATCATATGCTAAGTACTACATGCTCACCCTAATCATGTGACATAGAGAACCTATCCATCCCAAATTTGGTGGTCTACGGACTACAGGGGAAGATGATGGGTCTTGGATAGTTGCAAATTGGCGTGTAGGGTCATTGGAATGAGGTATTTCAGTGAGATAATTGGAC